TGATGGGACTTGTCCTGATATTGACTATCCTTACTGGTGACTTCTGCCCTGAATGATTCCTTTTTAAATCTTTTCTTGGTTGATATGAAGTCATATGCCCATTGATTCCAGTCTTCTTCTTCCTTGAGTCTTGGGGAATCATCATTGTGTGGTGAATTGCTAGCATACTCTGTTAGGGTGCCAGAACAAAAACACTAACATTTCATATTTCTAGGAACTGAGGATTTATTTGTATGATCCAGAGTGAATGAATCCAGTTAGAATATCAATTCTAGCAAATGTGTTTGTGTGTGTGTGTGTATACAGGAATATTATATGTGTGTGTGTGTGTATATATATATATATATATATATATATTTTTTTCAATCCTGTAGTGCTCCTTTTGATGTGAAAAGCTCTCTCTTGGGTTATTATTTTGGGAGGATGTCAAAGGTAAAGATATTGATATGTCAGCTTCAAAAAATATTATTATTGACCTGCAAAAGACAGCTATTTTAGATCTGTACCCTGAACAAATTCAACATTTTAATTGCCTTATCTCTGGAGCTATTAAAGATAATGACTGTTGGCAGTATGATTTGCTGGGTCACCATTATCAGTATCAACTACAGAAACATTACTGCTTAGCTCTCTTGCAAGAGGGTGAAATTCACAACAAGGCACATTCTGATGACTTAGTCTTGGGAAATTGCTTTAAAGATTTAAATATTTTAATTGCTTAGTGTTAATTGCTCTGTAACTCGTGACAAGGCCCTCAGTGCCAGAACTAATAAAGCAGGTTAATGAATCCCAAACTATAGCATTGGAACAATGGGATGATGGATTCGCTCTGGGCCGTTCTTTTAGATACTTATGGATTTGTTTTCATAAGAAGGATCATAAGGAATTATAACAGGAGAAAAAATTAATAGCCTTCCTAATACAAAGATTTCCACAATGGATTGCCTCATATCTCTCCCCCACTTTCTCCTATCTTTAGTATGGATATTTTGGACATACTAAAAATGACCATTTACCATCACTCTATTCTTTGACATTCATTTTTAGGATCTGAAGGGAACTAGTGATCAATGTATAAAGACCAGGAGGCTTTCAATGTTATCTCTGTTGATAACCTTTTACTGACTTAAAACTAGTTAAGCAGGTGTATCCATTCAGGATTTTCTTTTGTGAGTGGATATGGAGGTTTTTATCTTATCTACTCATTTTGATTGCATGCTTTAGTTATCTATTTTTGTTTCAAGAGAGACAGAGAGAATCACTAACAATACTTCTAGTAATTGAAGAGAATAGGATGTCATATAAAATGCTGAAGAGTTTGTATTTAGTGCTCAGATATTCTGTCATCTAGTGAGCTCTGGAAGTTCTGAGATTCTATTTATTGTTGCTGTGGCTATGGATCTCAGGTTGTGTTGCTTCAGAATAGTGGAACAAGTAGGTAAGTCCATGAAAAGTCTGCTCTCAGGTAAATTTTTTTTTCCCATATAGAAGCATAAATCTTAGCCCCTCTCCATCTCTCCCTGCTCCTTACAATCTTATTCCCATAACGTCTATATCTCATATCAATTGCTTTGGTTAGGGGCATATTTTTTTGACATCTTAGATCGAGACTCTCACTGGCTCTGCTCATCATTCAATCCGCACTGCAAGTCACCCTCCTGCCTGTTGTGTGCTCTTGGGGAAAACCAGTCAACTGTAGGAGGGGATTGTGCATGGTTCACATTGTGTGTGCTGAACTTGATAGTGGCTATGGGACTGACAAATTTTCAAGACAGAGGTTATGTTGTTCAATGAAGCCGAACAGCTCTGAGATGGATTTATTGTTTAAGAGCATCCCTGGGAAGGTCATCCTGGTCTGATTATGTGTCACCCGCTCATGCAGTATGGGCGGGATGGCCATCTGACATCAAATGCAGTGGGCAGGGAGTCAGGGAGAGCTCCAGGGTAACTGTTCTGAAGGGTCTGGTGTCAGGGATCACTAATTGTTCTGATGTTCCTTTCCAAATGACGGAGTTGCAGTCTTGGTTAATGAAGTACTTTCCTTCAATCTTTGAAGTAAAGAGCATGGTTAAATGATTAAAGAAGCAGTAGAATTAGTTCAGCATCACCTTTCTCTGGTTCCCACTCTAGGAGAAAGGATGCTATATCTTTCCACCCATCTCAAGTGGGCAGGGAGGAAGCCGCTTTTGCGTTTCAAGCTAACTGAAGAGGCAGGCATACAGTACTCTCTAAGGGGAAGGAGATGGAAAGGAGTCTTTGAGGAGGAGGAAGGTGCGAATATGACACAGCACAGCCTGCTGTGAACTCACAGTCCATGGAGAAGACAGACAAGCAAACAAAACTTTGAGAGCGTAAATAGAAGTCTGCACAGGGTCCCAAAGAGAGCAGATGGACACACTACCAGACTGAGGGTTTTGAATTATTTCTTCAAAGAGTTGTTTTTACAGCTAACTGTTGGTGGAAATGCAGTAGTTATAAAGTCTCAGAAGGGCGGGTTCCAGACAGAGAGAACAACATTTGCAAAGACTGAGGAAGCATATGAGTTCTGAGATTCTATTTTATGATTTTCATTTTGTGAGCTCTCTTAAATCAATGTAAAGATATTTTGTGATCTGACCAAATCCCTGCCCCCCTATCATCTGCCAAGTACTCACTCTCCTGACACACTTGAGTCCCTCAGCGGGGGACAGATGCCGGCAGATACTCAGTCCCACTGAAAATGGATTTCACAGAACTCTTCTGAAATTTAAACACCATCCCAGGAATAAGGGAGGAGAGAGGCTGAGTTCATCTGGAATGTTTACCTGAAGACCCTGAGAAGCACTGGATTGAAAGGAGTTTTTCCAGAAACCGCCAGACTTCACTTGGTGAGAGGCAACCTGGAGATAAAAACTGAGTTCCCTCTGAGATGAGTTTTTGCAAATGTGAACGTGTGGTTCCTTTGATTTGTACTCATGATACATGCTTCTCTGCCAGGTTTCTGTTCTTGCAACTTAGAGGCTCACAAGTCACTCCAGTTGAACTGGGCTAATTGGGCTGCACAAAATAACCACACAAGAGACACAAATACCTTTTTCTTTGGGGTTGCTCTGACGGCTCCTCCGACCTTAAGGGTCCGCAGAAAGAGAGAGAGCAAGAGCACACGCTGACCCCTTTTATTGAGGAGAAGCTATTCAAATGAGGCAAGGGGTCAGGTTTCAGGGGGCTGAGTCTATCTTCATGATGTCCACTGTCAGCAGGTTGACTGACACCTGGGTAGGCCACACCCAAGGGCACAGTAAGAGGAGGGGACACACACAAGGCACTTCCATGGAAGATCCTATCCTAAACAGGGCAAGGGGTTATATTACAAAGGAACAGGTGAGCATAGCTCCACCCATGGGGCTGTAGCAAGACACACCCATGCACTGACCCTCGAACCCAAGAAGGGTGGGGAAAGCTCTGCCACATTTCTGCGCCTGAGCACCTCAGCACCCAGCTGGGGAGTGTGACTCAGTCACATACAAGGTTGGTCTTCCACACTTCTCATAGATTATTATTTTAAAACGTTTGAACCCCAAAAAGTTACTTGTTAAAAAGACTCATTGAATTTCAATGTGAATTAAAATGGAAAGAAACTTATCATTTAAAAAGCTGAAAAAAATGAGACCCGGTCATTGACCCAGACACTGATACGACTTTTTAAGGTCACACAGCAGATGAGGAGCTAATAATCTTCTGAATAAACTTTCTTCCATCAATCCTGAAAGCCTGAAATGTTTACTTGTATTTTTAAGAGAGAAGGTAAGCCTTAAGAAAAGCTAATCATAAGTGGCAAAAAAAAAAAAAATAGAGTTACAAAAAGTGTAATATGCAAGGAAGGGGATAATTTTTTAGTTATTTTGTGGACAGAGAACCACAGTTAGTTGGGTACGGTGGCATTATGGAAAATTAAAACATCAATAGATAAGTCCAAAACTTCATTTCTTTTTTTTTAAAAAAAAAATTTAGTTGCTGATGGACCTTTATGAGGATCGAACCCAGCACCTTGAAAGTGCTAGACGAGCACTCTATCACTGAGCCACAACCCCAGCCCCTCACTGTATTTCTTTAATCTCATACTATATATAGTAAGTTACTATATATAGTATTTTTGTTGTTGTTGTTCTTTGCCTTTGTGGAGTTTTACCCTTGGATGTGTGTGTGTGTGTGTGTGTGTGTGTGTGTGTGAGAGACAGAGAGAGAGAGAGAGAGAGAGAGATATGTTTGGATTAGAAGACCCCTGAGATACTAATTTTTTTCTCTGCATTACTCTACCTCAATGCCCATGATATAATGATTTGAAAAAAATTTTTGCCATGGAGTCCTATCTTCATAACCTTCAATTGTAAAATAAAATACTATTTAGAACAGAAAAGTGTTTTCTTCTAAGAGATAATACTCATACTTGATGTGAACAAACGTATGATACAGTTAAATTAGAGTATTTATTATATAAAACAATCATACTGAAGTAACATACAAGACACAAATATAATGAAAAATTTTAAGTGTCATTTTAATTTCCTATATTTATTTCTCTTATTGAAACAAGACTAATGAAGAGAGATGTGTTATATTACTTTTATAATCTAAGACTTTACCGCTAGTTTTGGAAAAATCTAGCAAAAACCTGTTTCTATTAAAAAACAGCTTTAATATCTAATTATGTTTAAGGGAGTTATTCTTTAATAAAAATCCACTAACAGCACATTATTCATGAGGACAGTACAAATATATTAGACTGATATTTCTGTAAAATAGACATTTAAAGGTCCCTAGCCACATAGGAGATATTATTCAACAAACAAGTTGCAGTTATATTTTTGAAAAGCTTAACAAATGTTTTTATTTACAGCTGATATTTTTCCAAAATGCAAACTTAGTGACACTGAGATTATACAGTATGAGTTTATTTCCCCATAATTTTTAAGTTGGCCAGGAACTAAGGGGAGAGTAAAATAAGTCCTGGGTTAATAAAATAGTGGACAAAACACTTTAATCAAAATTTGATAAATCTATGAAACTTATCAAAATATTTTCCTTTACAGAGTTATAAGTATTTTTATTATCTTATTTCTAAATCCATAATAAGTCCAACTCTAGTGTGGCTTAGAAAGGATGCACAACATTTTATTATGTTTCCTTTTGCACTCAAATATAGTTAAAACAAAAGGGAATACAAATAGTATTCCCCTTGCAGAGGACTAGCTTAGTAATTAAATTCTTTTATACAACACTCTCTTTTTTTGTTATCATTTGCAAGTACAGTATACTGAACCCTTATTTCGTGTAAAATGAATCTGAGATGCTGCTATTAAGGTCTACACTAGAAACTAGAATTACAAAAAGTACAAGGAATGAGATATAGGGTAAATTTTCTTTTTTACAGTTTCTAAGTATGCTAAATGATACTCTATTTTAATTTTCCTTAAAAACTCCACAACTTGAGGTTTGTTTTTTTTTTAATCCTTGGTCTGACATGATGATACCTAGAATATAATCCAGGTCCTCTTTATCAGTTGGCTATAAAGTGCATTTACTCCAGTTCAGGTATGATGGGTATTGACAACTTCTGACATGGAAGAGGGCTGAAGTAATATGAAAGCATTGAAGAGAGACCTTAAGAAACCACTCTGGTCTTCAAATAGTGTTAGCAGGAGTATGATCTAAAGATCTTATGGTGAGAGAGGAGTGTGAACCTTTTTTTTTGGAGCGGGGGAGTACTGAACTCAGGAGCACTCAACCACTGAGCCACATCCCCAGCCCTATTTTGTATTTTATTTAGAGACAGGGTCTCACTGAGTTGCTTAGCTCCTTGCTTTTGCTGAGGCTGGCTTTGAACTCACCCTCCTCCTGCCTCAGCCTCCCGAACCACTGGAATTACAGGCGTGCCCAGCCAGTGTTAACTTTTAGTCTTATTAGTTTTTATTCAGGTCCATTTACTCTGGAGAAATGACTTGTGAGTTCTTTGCAGGGAGGAATGCAATTTACTTTGTGAATTAATCACTCTAATGACATGTACACATTCAACATAGTAGATTTCCTGAAAGAGAATCATCTTTATTTCAAAAAGCACATTTACTCTTTTCTAAATTATATTCATGTTTTGTGTCAATATCAAAAACACACATAGCCAAAATTACCATAGCCAAAATTAAAGTTAAACCATTATTTGGAGAACACAGATCTTTTGAATATAATACAGTATATGAAATTTATAATTACTGTTTTAGTAAAAGTCCACATTTATTCTTCTCCACTTTGGAAATATAGAGGATGAAATGGCAAATTTCTTATTTTTTCCCTAAATCAAAAATGGATATATTGGGATAGCTAAAATGTATGGATATGTTAAATGTATTATAATTCAAAGCACAGTAAAAATTTCTAAAACAAAAGTACTAAGTAGTACACTAAAAATGGAAATTGATATCTTACTGCTTCCCTGGATGATCGCATACATACTCAACGTTTACCCTGGATTTAGCAACTTTTAATATGAAATATTCATTATGCAAATTGAATAGAAATTTTTGATTTTCAAAGAATTTAGAGATATTTTACTGCTTTATCGATACTGCAAGAAATTCTGCAATAATGTTGGCAACTGGAGCTGTGGGATGAGATGTAATCTTGGTCTTCCTATGCAATTTCGGATACAGAGTCGGCAGAGTTGGCAGAGAGAACTTGGGGTAGCTACAAAAAGACATGAACGTTTCTGTTAATTAAAAGACAAATGAGTTTTTATATATAGCAAGAGAGATGAAACAAAACCATAAGACACTACAAAGCTTATTAGGAAATGAAGATAGTATGATCAACATACTAGGAAACTTTATGTAAGCATTTATGTTGCTTTTACTTATGAGATCTTGTAATTGAGATATATGCCATGCATGTTCATTAAAACATTATCATCTTCAATATTATGAAACAATCATTGCATTAAGAGCCTAAGAAAGAAATTGGTGGGGTTTTTTTTTTTTTTAGGAGATATAAATCAAAAGCCACAAGAAGCATTATATACTAAAGGTGAGATTTAAAAATTATATATTTTCCCTCAAGTTAGTTTTAATATTTAAGCTAAAGTAAACTTTATTATAGTCTCTGAACCAGACTTAACAAATTCTGTTTAAAACAAGAGTCTTAAGTGTTAAAATCATTCCTTATTATGTTTCTTCAATATGTTACAGAAGGCACATGCCCTTATAAAACAGGGCATGTTTCCAAATATAAATTAACAGATATTATATCAGAATACATGTTATGCATTGTCAAAACAAGCTGAATATATTTAACTAGAGGAGTATGAAGGTTTAGATATGATGAAAAAAGAATATTAAAATCATCATGCTATCTTCTTTGTAGACATATTGGAAATATTTCTACTTCCACAAAAAATGTTCCAAATTATACGCCATTATTATTTTACATGCCAACAAAAAGTCTTTCAATTTCATTTGTTTGGAGCAAATATACTTTTGTATTTATACATGTTCATGTTCACATCTGTCCTTACCTTCATGTTGAAGCAGTATTCTCTCTACCATACTGTTAGATGTAGATACATCTATAGGTCGCAGAAGCTCTGTATTTTTGGCATTGATATCTGCTCCAAATTCTAATAGTAAATTTACAATTTCTGTACTGGATTGTTGAGCAGCAGCATGTAATGGAGTATCCCAATATTTGCCTTTTTGTACATCAGCGCCTACATGTGAATAAGGAGTAATGACAAAAACAATAAAAAATTATTAGATGAGTTAATTCCTAAGTGGGGAAGAAAGAGAAAGTCTTTAAAGAGGGGGACAGAAGGGACCTCAACTTTGTAATGGCTTATGTTTTTATATATACATATATTATATATATTTTATATCTTCTTATCCTTGTATATGCACAAATATCTTTATATATACATATATTAATGTATATTATATATTTCTCATATATACATATAAAATCTTAAACTTAGTATGTTTGGATGGGGAGGTACACGCCCACAGTATATTTTTCTCAAATTTTTTTGTATTCTTGAAAGATATCGTAATAAAGAGATTTTAAATGATTCAAAAATTAATTGTATTAATTATTATAAACAGTACATGATTAAATGCATACATATCTATTTTCATGATAGATATAGCTCTTAAGATTATTCAAGGGCTTATTGCATTTTTTTCTTTTCACTTATTTAAGGCAATAGAGGTCTTTGATTTCTTAGAAAAATCATGAATCTAGACAAGTGATCCATCTAGGTAAAATGGATATAGATTTTCCTGGTACTTTTCACTCACATAGATTTAATCAATAAATATATGAAGACACTAAGCCTCTCAAGTGGGAAAGCACATCAATGATATCTGCATGCATGTAATTTTTAAAAAAAATACTCACACTAAAAAAGAGAAGGGAAATTGCATGGAAATGGAAGGAGACCCTCAGGGTTATACAAAAGTACATACAAGAGGAAATGAGGGGAAAGGGAAAAATAATACAAGGGGGACAAATGAATGTCAGTAGAGGGGGCAGAGAGAGAAGAGGGGAGGGGAGGGGAGGGGAGGGGGGATAGTAGAGGATAGGAAAGGCAGCAGAACACAACAGACACTAGTATGGCAATATGTAAATCAATGGATGTGTAACTGATGTGATTCTGCAATCTGTATATGGGGTAAAAATGGGAGCTCATAACCCACTTGAATCAAAGTGTGAAATATGATATATCAAGAACTATGTAATGTTTTGAACAGCCAACAATAAAAAATTAAAAAAAAAAACCAACCCTAAAATGTGAAATTATCTATTGCATAATTATTATATTCTGGTGTAGAGCCTGGCATATGGTGATCATTTAATGCATGTACAATAAATAAGTGATGTTTAAAATTCTAATATTATAATCCCATTTTCTGGTACATAAATGGTTACAACACCAGGAAATGTCTACCAGTTAAAATGCATAAGTTCTTTTCAACTCTGTTTTCTGAAGCTGTTTAAAAAATTAATGATGTACATGGGAAACAGTAAATTTTCAGAGTTTCTTTATGGCCCTTCTGCTATTTTCAAATTTCAGTAGTTTTTAAAGCAAATATAAAACATTTAGTGGGAAAATTACATGCCATAGCAAAGTTTCTATAGAGAAAACAGACTCTTGGTTATAACAATCATATGAGATAATAATAATCAACAATTACTAACAGCACTTTCTTGATATTTTTAAGCCCATTATAAAATGTTCCTAGCCAAAAAAACAACAACAACAACAACAACAAAAAAAAAACAGGGATATTTTATTAAAGCACAAGTCCAATGGTTATACCAAATTTATGGGAGAACATGGCTAGAAAATAACAGTCTGCCAACTATCATTAACAAAACTCATGTTTAAGATTCTAGGTGTAATGAGAATAAAATAGTAGAAGCTGACTCAGCTTGTAAGATATTTATAAATAAGCTAAGATAATGTGAGTAATATATAAAAGATTTATTATTAAAATATTTCTGAATGTATTTAGGAGATCAAATGACTATCATAAAAATAGTAGCAAGAAATAAATCCATTTAGTTTTTTTTTTTTTGTATATTCTAAGCATCTACCACACGAGAGGGACCCTGCTAGATAGATGATGGGGGAGGGGACATAATCCACATCCTAATGGAGTCCTTTGGTGGTAGAGACCACTATGGTCTCAACAGAATAGGAATGTTTCTCAGAGGGCTACAACTGAACCTTGCGTCATTTCACATAAGTAGAAAAGAGTATTAATTCTTTTGGAGTAAACAGGACAAAACAAAGAGTCAGGGAAAAATGTGTGAGTTTTTATGCTTGGTAGAATATAAGGCCATCCAAGCAGTTACTATTCCTAAAATTTCTTTTCATGGATTTATTCACAGATATATACATACTCAGCAACATTATATTAAACCCTGAGGATCTTAATTTTATGATCTTTTATAAGGAGGGCTTTCAGGCTCCATTACATACCCAAATGTCAGTTAATGCTGTGTGTGTAAAATATAGATAGCATATTAATCTGTGAGCTTCAAAGTATTCTCATCAAGCGTGAGATTCTTTTATTGGTTATATACTTATAAGGGACTTATAGGGGAGAATGTTTGCAATGAAAATGTTATTAGCAATGAGACATAATTTTTAAAGATGTTTAGTTAGGAAAATAAATGCTTATGTAAGAAACAGAATGGAAAATGTTTTAAAGAAAAGTACCGGCATAAAGAAGTCTCCAGATGCAATGGAATTGCTGTGACATGCAAGCTACATAGAGAGGAGTTCCCAAGTGAGGAACATCTTGGTCAACATCTACGCCCCAGGATATTAGTATGTCGAGACATTCATGGTGACCTGCCAACACAAAGTAGAGATGAGTTTACTTTAGCTTTCACTACTCTCCAACACACGTGCACCTCAACCCATGCGTCCCTTAAAATTTAATTTACTAAATGGTAAATGGAACACTGAATGTCAAGGATCTCTCTTCCCTTTTGACTTAATCCCCTAACTAAGTTACCTTTACTGGCAGCCTCATGTGTGGGAGATGGAAGACAGGACTCCAGCTGGGCCTTCGCACCATATTCCAAAAGAAGTTCTGTACAGCTGGCACTGCCTTGCGAGCATGCATTGAATAACGGAGTCACACCATCTATTGTGATTGCATTTACCTAAATCAAACCCAAAACCTAAGAATAAGATTTATGAATCATACATGACTGACTTAGTTATGCATTTTCAAGTTATGTGATTGCTAACCAAAGTAACTGGGAATCTGTGTGCTGTAAATATGACAAAGTATATTTAGTTCTTATAGATCGATAAGAACACTTTAAAAATTCAAGAGGTAAATAAATAGAAAGACAATATGGCAGATAGTTCCCAGGAATAGATATACAACTAGTGAAAAGCATGAAAAAAAAATCTCAATTATTGAAAAAAAAAAGTAATTCAATGATTAGGTAAATTTCAGTGAGGGAAACAAATGAAGAAAAAAATGTAATGTTGATGAAAGTTGGGCTGAAGCCACTTTACTAGTGGTTGTTTAAAATGGTAAAATTGGTCATTCTATTTCTGAGAACTTACCTGAGGAAAATTATTCAAAAGATGAGCCATTGTTAGAGGCCTGAAGATAATCCTCTAGAGGCATGAAAGCAGAAAATAACCTAAAGAATATTCTATATTATTATGCCGCATGCCACTCATTCATAGGATTGTTGGAAGTCCTTTTGAGAGTGAAATGAGAAGGAAAACGCAATTCAAGGGCTTTATTTTTATTCTATTATTTTTGAAAGTACTCAGAAAGAATGACAGAAAAGCAAAATGCTTACATTAGCTCCAGCTTCCAGAAGAGCTCTGGCACAGGCCACGTGATCTCCCAGGCAGGCTTCGTGTAATGGGGTGACGTGGTCTATAGTGACTGCATTCACATTATAACCCTAGGCATGGCAAACAATTTTGAAAGGTGAGCAGAGAGTTGTAGAAAAATCATCTCTCTAAATGTCGTTAGAGAATGCTATATTTTAAATGTTAAAGAATCTCAGGCAAATCAGTTTCCGGTTTAGTAGGCATGGCCAATTTGAATGCCATGGAGTCAATCAGTTGCCAAAACACCTTAGCTCTTCTCTTCTAGTTATTTATGATGTGAATTACAGGGATTGTGAACTAAAGTCACTCCACTGTGATCTAGAGCACTAGAACTCACCTATGTTCTGTGCCTGTTATACAATCTCCCTCTATTTTCCCTCTCCCTAACCTTTTCTGTCTCTAGTAATCACTATTCTATATTCAGATTGAGGTTTAGCTTTTTTACATTCAGTATTTGTCTTTCTGTGTCTGACTTATTTCTCTTAATATAATATCCTCCAGTCCCTCCACTCTATTACAACTGACAAGATATCATTCTTTTTATAATCCAATAATATCCCAATGTACCACATCTTCTTTCTCCATTCGTTTATTAATGGGCTTCTAGGTTGATTCTGTATCTTTGCTACTGTGAAAAGTGCTGCAATAAACATGAAAGTGTAGACATTTCTTTGATATGCTGATTTCATTTCCTTTGGAGCAGGAAGTTTCCAAATATAGAGTAATGATAAAGAGATGGAATATTAATTACTCCTGATTTAATCAGTATACAGTATATGCATGAATTAAAATTTCACACTGTACTCCATAAATATGCATGATTATTGTTATTCAGAAATTGTTTAAAATATTTAAGGAAACGAAAACACTACCTTGATTTGCTTATTATATACTGTATACATATATTGAATTATCACACTGTAGCCCATAAATATGTACAATTAAAAATTTTTTAAAAATCTTCTTAGCCACAATGTTGTAGTACCATCATGCCTTGAGATAATAATACCTTAAGCATTTTGTTCGATTCTGGTATTTTTTAAAATTTTACTCTCTTAACTGTTTGGGGGGTGGTTTTTATTTTGTTTGGATTTTTTGTGTGTGAAATTAAAGACTATTGATAAGCTGGATCACTTGTTTTTTTTTTTTTTTTAAGAGAGAGAGAGAGAATTTTCTTTTAATATTTATTTTTAGTTTTCGGCAGACACAACATCTTTGTTTGTATGTGGTGCTGAGGATCGAACCCGGGCCGCACGCATGCCAGGTGAGCACGCTACCGCTTGAGCCACATCCCCAGCTCAAAGGATCACTTGTTTTGATTAGGGCTATAAAATTATACGTCAGTCCAGACCGGGGGGAAAAATACTGTAAAATTTAATAAATTGCTTTGTGAATTTCTATCACTAGAAAGATATGGCTAAAATACAGACTAGGATTAAGAACTGTGACTATAAAGCCAGTTAGACAGTTTAAAACCTAGCTCCATTAAGCAGTAACTTTGCAATTTGGACAAATACCTTATCTTTTCAAGTTTAGGGTTATCATGAGAATTAAATGAGGTAATGCCTCTGGGCACAGTGGTGCAAGCCTGTAATCCCAGTGGCTAGGGAGGCTGAGGTAGGAGGATCTCGAGTTCAAAGCCAGACTCAGCAACAGCGAGGTGCTAAGCAACTCAGTAAGACCCTGTCTCTAAATAAAATACAAAATAGGGCTGGGGATATGGCTCAGTAGTCGAGTGCCCCTGAGTTCAATCCCTGGTATGCCCCCCACAAAAATGAAGTGATGTTTGTAAAGCATTTATTATTATAGCACCCAGTGTATAGGAAATATTAGATTTTATTATTTATTTTAAATATTAGAATTTATTTTTCAGTCAATACTAAATACTTTTTAATTTTAGCTCCATTAAACTGACATTATAAGACTAAAATAGTTAAATATTAGGGCATGAGATCCTTTGCCATCTTGATGTCACTAAGTAATTCACTATCTATTGACACTAAGACTAAGCACTACTATTTAAGGAAGAATTTCAAGACAAATACTCCTAACATATTACAGATTGCCAATATTCTATAACTAGAGATTACTAATCTTTAATACCAGAATGGACACGAAGCATCATAAAATGAAGGCATAGAGAATAACACCAAATCTTTGTCGTTATTGAGTGGGAATTTTTAAGATCCTTTAATTATCCCTGCAAAAATTTCAAGTTGCTAGCCAGCAGATTTGGAGGGCTGCCCTAGAGTGCTGTAGAGTGGCCAGATGACACAAGTGATTGAGAAGGTCGAGGTTCCCTTCCACATGGTGCTCTGGGGCAGCCTCTCTCTCTTCTTGGCTGGCCTGCCTGTGGATAGGAGATACAAGTTGAGAAATACCTTAGGACCGCCCTCTTCTCAGAGAACTGCGTGACACTCTGAGGGATTACCATTTGGAATTACTGACCTTTTGATAGGGCATTTTTTCCCTCTCATCAAGTGATAAGCAAAACAAAATAGTCACATGGTTGTCACAGAACTGGTTGGCACCAAGGGAGCGTCTCACGCATATCTTCATTTTGCAGATGTGAAAATGGAGCTCAGATAGACAGTGGGTCAGCCCTAGTGCCACCCCAGAATGCAGGTCTCCTGAGCCCCAGGCAGTGCCCTTTAAACTGGGCCATAGGACTCTTCCTTTCTCAGCCAGTCCTTGTCCTTTGACACTGGGAAACACTAGTACAGTGACTCCTAGAACTGGGTGTATATTTAAATCTGAATGGAATCTTAAAAAATAAATGCACAGGCCCATGCCACATACTCTGTTTCAAGAAGGAATATGTTTTTCACTTTTCCTCTGGTGAGTCTGATGAGCGGGCAGGTGTAGAAATGAGCATTCTGTGCCTCCGTAGACAACTCCCCACATTAGATTACCATGTCACAAAAAGATTGTTTCAGAATCTAGTCTAATCACCCTTTGTGGTTATTATGTGACTAAGTCTCCAATTAGATATACACATTAGACAGAGGTAAGCATATTTAGAATAATTAATAAATAGCCGGGAGCTGGGGATGTGGCTCAGAGATACAGCACTCGCTTGGCATGTGATTCTCAGCACCACATAAAAATAAAAAAATAAAAGATATTGTGTCTGCCTATAACTAAAAAATAAATATTAAAAATAAATAAATAAATAGCTGGGCGTAGTGGTGCAAGCTGGTATTCCCAGGAGGCTGAGATAGGAGGATCGAAAGTTCAAAGCCAGCCCCAGCAAAAGTGAGGTGCTAAGCAATTCAGTGAGACCAAGTCTCTAAATAAAATACAAAATAGTGCTGGGATGTGGCTCAGTGCTCAAGTGCTCCTGAGTTCAATTCCCAGTACCTCCTCCAAAAAAAGAATAATTAATAATACATACAATTATTTATTGCTTAAATTTCTATCAATGAATAAATATATACTGTATGAAAATTTTAAAATGCCGAAACAAATGATTATACCAAAATATTTATAAAGTAATTTCAAAGATAAATGAGAAACTATTTACTAGCCTGACACCAGTTAAAAAGGTAGTAAATTTAAGCAATTTTAGTAGTTTTGAATTGATTTGTTTTGACAGTGTTCTATGCTGATGGGAAGGGGGCATGTCTAAGCTATATGTAATATTTTACCTGTGATAATAATGTTCTCAGAGCAAGAAGACGACCTTGACTTGCAGCTTCATGTAGTGGTGATCGATCTGCCCAGGAACCTGTCAAAAAGAAAGAAAACCAAAATTAGTGAGTCAAAGCAAAGCCTAATAGGCTCAATCAATTCCTGTGTCATAAATTATTCACATTCAGCATTCCACAAGGTGACCCGGATACTTATCCTACCTGGTAGGAAATTTGATTTTTACCAGAAGTATCCAAATAAGTAGTTTGCAAATCTACAGGGCCATAATGTGTGTTCTGCAATTGACCTACTTCAGACTCAACTGCACCAAAGAGGACAATGATTAGGATACCACATTGCTCACCAAAAAAATAACCTCTATATCATGATTTTTCAGACAGAACCAGATTTATTTATTTATTTATTATTTTACCAATGACAGCAGACAAAATATTCACTTCCCCACACTCCCAACCTGCCATGCCCCTGAGGTACACAATATGTTGCCAAGGAGGCAAATGACTGAGCCCCAAGTATGAAATAATGGAACAGTCAAGGTGGGCCCTAAAGAGAGAGCTCACAGGCTGGGAGGGACACAGGGCCACCGCAATTGAAATGGTGTTGATAGTGGAGATCATGACTCTCCATGTGCCAGGTGTGGATGACCCCTCCACCCCACGCTTTGGTGATACCACACTCACTCATCATGAGCTCCTAAGTTTTTGACTTATATGTTTTTTTGCACCTTCGGTCTCTTCATGTGAGAAAGCCACCTTTCCTTTACCCTAGTACTTTTTGGCAGCCAGCCACTACCCAAAGACACAGGCCTCCACTCCCATTTCCTCACACTGTGGCTGCACAGTTTTTGTCGTTTTTTTCTTTTTAAAATATGCCAAGTTGGTGCACAGTGAATTCACTGTAATTTAAACAAGACCAGCACCATTGGCTCGATTTACTAGACATGAGAAATAATATTAGAGGTTTCGATGTAATTAAATGAGCAGGTTATGCACGCCAGAAACAAATTTCACTCAAAGGATACTACTGGCTAATAAAACAACATTAGCTAGAGAGAAAGTTGTCCCAACATAAGATGGTTATGGTTGGTATCTGCCTTCCTGTCTACTACCTCGTTTCCTCCCTTTTTAAATCCACAGGATGCAATAAATTAAAATACTTTTAACTGCTGATTGATTCTAGCACAATAAATAAATTCACTTAACTGGTACTCAGAAATATAAGTTTTATGAAAAGCATTTATAATGTTTGTTTAAATAGTCTAAGTAAATTATTGGAAACACAGCTGCAGTAGAATACTGTACTTTAGAAACCGTCTCCTATCCCCACCTTTCTGTGCTTTGAAACAATCTACACATGATTCCTCCTATGATTCTATTTTATAGTCTTACCACAGAGCTTTGCCACCACACTGTAGGTGATACTTAAATTAATTCTATTAAATAAAATGCAGGGCACATATCACAAGGTAAATGCAGCCACCAAGTGAGCTTGGTGCAGAGAGCAGAAGTTAATTGCCAATCACCAATCTTTTTACGTCTAATGATACCATAGGATTTTACTAGAAATACAAATCCTAAGGGAGAGGAGGTAGAGTACAACTTCTTACCATTGATTTACCAGTAATGATCATAATAGCTAATGTTGAATAGAATTTACTGTGTTCATAGACTAAACCCTATGCACAAGTAAATTCTATACACAGTAAAATCACTATGTGTAGTATCTCATTTAGTTCTCACAATGATTTGAGGTACATACATTACTACTTCTATTTTAAAGTGAGGAAATAAAATCTAGGAAAAAAATGAAGTAATATAGAAGTCCACATATTCTAAGCACACAGCTGATAATCCTAGCCAAAACCCTGCTCACTGATCTGGACATTGTCTGTGGGCTTATGCAGAGTGTCTTACTGTAAGGAAAGTAATTAGCTGCCTTCAAGGTCTTCCTGAAACAATGGTGATACACAGAAACCAGAAGTAGAAGGCTCAGCCAGTAACTTGGTGATAGTGAATTCCTGGGAACTTGGGTCTAGAAGGAGTAGGACTCAATTCTCAGGGTTTTGCAAATGCCAGAAAACTAGTATTAATCGTATTGATTAAGTATGATTTACAATGTGTAAAACTTTCTCTGTAAGAATGAAAAAGATCTTCAAAAATCTGTTGATTCACTGAGTAGAAACTTAGCTGAATACTTTTCAGTCTTATCACACACATCTAAGGATCTGAGTTATGGAGTGTCTCTTCTCTGAGTTCTTTCAGGTTTCCAGAGTGATTATTTGACAATGTTTGAATTCTTCCTTTAGCCTCAAATACTTTAAAGCTTATTTTTAAAATAACCTTAGTTTTATTATCATTCTGAAATTTCTGGAGTGCATATAAGAAAATTATCTTCAGCCATTAGGCTTGTCTTTATCTCATGGTTATATGTGGGTCAGAGAGACCCAATCTAAGGATAAGGCACAAGCATAAAATGACCTGCCTTCCCTGACAGGAGTTGTCCTGAATGTATTTAGATTATTATTCTTTTTCTTTTTTTTTTAAACAATATCTGGCTGTGTTGTCCAGGCTGACCTTGAACTCCTGGGTACTATCAATATCCCTATTCAGCCTCCCAAGTAGCTGGGACTACAGGAACACATCACTGTACCCTGCTGGATCATAGTTTTCAAGTGTATGCAATTAATGAAACTAATACCTGTGACAGGTTTCTGGTTGTGATGTATTTTCTCCTTCAAAAGATACTGAAACTATAGCTATTATCAGCTGGAGACTTTAATCTTGTTCAGAAAGGGTTCCTCATGCAATGGGTGAAAAAGTTCTGGAAATACCTTAAAGTGCTATTGGCAACCTTTGCAGTAACAGCTTCAGAGCTGAGCAAAACTAGTTTCTTCATGGATAACCTGACTAAATAAAAACAAAAGAGTATTGTTATGGTTTGGATGTGAGGTGTCCCCCAAGAGCTCATGTGTGAGACAATGCTAGAAGATCTATGAGAAATAATTGCGTTATGAGAGCCTCAATTCAATCAGTGAAGTGATCACTTAATGGGATTGACCAAGTGGTAACTGAAGACAGATAGGGTGTGGCTGAAGGAGATGGGTCTTTGGGGGCGTGCCTTTGGGGTACACATTTTGTATCTGGCGAGTGGAGATCTCTCCCTCTCTCTGCTGCCTAATCATCATGTGAGCCATTTCCCTCCACCACACTCTTGTGCCATGATGTTCTGCCTCACCTCAAGCCCTGAGAAATGGAGACTGCTGTATATGGATTGAGACCTCTGAAACTGTCAGCCCTCAAATAAACTCTTCCTCCTCTAAAGTTATTCTTGGCAGGTCTGTCAGTCACAGCAGTGAAAAATCTGACTAAAACAAACACCTAAATCAGTCCTTGCCATGTGTCAGGATCTGCCCTAATTGCTGGTCCCAAGCTTTTTTGTTTAATACTCCCATTTTTTGTTTAATGGACCCTTAGAGGTAGGCACAATGATTATCCCTATTTTAAAGGTGAAGGAATTAAGACATGGAGAAGTTAAGTAACTCACCCAGGGTCACACAGCTTCTAGTTATGGATATGAACTCCAAACCGTAACCTCTTAGCTCCGGAGAGGTTATATTTTAAATTATATATAATCCTGCCTCTCAAAAACCACACATGCATGCATACACAGTATGCTAAGCATTTTAGTAAATAATAATACTATAAATCTCTTTGGTATTTTTATTGGTCTATTTTTTCCTTCTAATACCCACTAATCTAAACAGCAATTTTATTTTATTCTTAGTAAAGGTAGGCCATTGCTGTAATAAGATGAAGTTTACTGAGATAGATACTACAACAGCAATAGAAGAAATTTTTTACATTTTTTTGAGAAAAAAAAGTCATTAGTTTCATGGGATTCAAATTAAAGGTATCTTTTATCATATTTGATATGTTTCTTATTCAGGAAGCTTCAATTATGTTCTCAGTCTTTATTAATCATCTCTTAAAACTTTTAAATATGGCCTGGTTCACCATACTCCTTTTCACTATATTTTTTCCACATTCCAATTTCAGGATAAAAAAGCATCAATGAAAATTAAGTGGTATCAAGTCTTTATAAAAGAAATAAAAAGCAAATTCCTAAGTATACCCCAGAAAGGGTACAACTCCCACAGAGTTTCATACACACATTTATCTTGAGTGCCAAAGTAAGTGTAAAATTTGACTAAAGTGTAAAACTTAATATACTATAAGTCTCAAAGGAATACTGAATTATATTTTTTTCTGCTTATAATTAGATACATACTTAAAAGTGTCTGCCTAGCATTATTACTTGCTTATCTAGATAAATTAGTAAGCCAGATACTGATTTGAGTCTTCAGTTGCAATAGGAATTACCAGTATTAGTTTTTGTATAATTTTTATTTGCAGTGTATAATAGTGCTGTCTTATATTCAAAGCAGAATTATAATCATGCACACCATTAAATAAATATTTGTTGACAGGATGAAATTTGGGGGCAAATAAATAATTTATAAAAATTGGAATATTATGTTCTCACTAAATAAAATGTAAAATACATCATCATAAATAATGTTCTTTGGGGGAATGACCATATTTTGAGTTCCAGCTTCTAAGATGAAATCTGATGTTTACATATCATGCACATTTATTTTATCATTAAAAATCTTGATTTCAGAGAGAAAATATAAAGAACTGTAGAATATGTAACCATTTTCATTGTGAATATTTAAGCAAGGAAATGAGAATTATAATACTAACTTTACAAATACATTAAATTTGAGAAACCACTAGGTTCAGTTTAATCAGCAGAGCATTAGCAAATTAATAAAAATTTAAATAACCAATGCTTAAATATATGTTTTAAATTAAGTAATCACTTGCAAAATTTGTAATGATCAGGTTTTCCCTTCCTGCATAATGACTTAATAAAGTTTATCACCTTTATCTCTAAAAACTATATGCAGAATATACAACACTGAGTTATTGTCACTGCTGTTATTTCACTTTCACCAGCTAACGTGATAACTAGCCAGAGGTAGGGATTGGCAGAAGCCAACAGAAATGGACTTTT